CTGTGTTTTGGGTGCCTGTCCCAGAGCAGAGCTGGGAGGGGTCCCATCTGCAAGTAAGGGCAAAAGCCGGGGAAACAGGAAGAGCGCCCTGCTCGTCCCGCCGCACCCACGCTTTCAGGAACCGTCTGCTCTTTCTTCCGAAGCTGTAACTTTTTTTCTTCCTTAAAGAAAGCTCTCGGTCCAACACGGGGCTCGGGCTCCTGATCCTGATCGAGAACTGCATGCCCGACGTGCAGAGGGGCGCTCCCTTCTCTGTTCCATGGACTTCAGCTGCAGGGACCGGGAGGCTGGGAGGCCGTGCTGGGGGTCAGTGACGGGCCGGCCTTCCTCCCGCTGGGACGCGTCCAACTGTGCTTCCCGAGTGGGCGGCATCGTGCGCCGGCCCTTCTGATCTCTCGTGGCTAGCGCTCCCTACCGATCTGACTCAAAGCACATCTGTCCCGATGGGACTGCAGCCTTTCCACCGTCAGAACAGACTTGTGCGTTTAACTTGAAGGGTGGACCTTTCTTTTAGAGACACAACCCACACATCCCAGCACAACACCTGCTCATCAGCCTCCGGCCACGCACAGCGAGAGCTCCACACGCCTCGTGTGTTTGCCTCAAGCGGGAACACACATGCGCAAACCCGACCCGTGAGAGCACCGCACTACGGCGGGACACGCAGCCTCCGGGAGGTGACACCTTGTGAAAACTCACACACAGCGTCCGATGCCCCACTAACCCCAAGAATCATCACTTGGGCAAAACGTTACGAACATGTCATGAGCAGAACAACCCTGACCCCGGAACACTCAGACAACACCGCGGCCACACCTGCGGCACCCCCACCCGCCCAAAGCTGGGGCCCGTGGTAGCTTCTCAAATAAACGTGCTTCATCTCAACATCTTGAAGCCAGTAGAGAATGAGCCCGTTTTATTCCGAATATACCTGCAAAACAGCATTTGCTCCAGGTGGGGCACACCTGCCGCAGGGATGGGAAAGCCACTCTGACGGTTTCCCCGACGCACGCGTCCCACACTGAGTACGGCTTCAAAGCAAAAGGGAGAAGGACGTGTGCGCGGCACGAGGCCAAAACCACAGCCGGTGGCTCCCCAGTGTCGTGCGAACCTCCGAGAGCCAGCCAGGGAGCGAAACCGTGTGCGGGGACAGACGCCAGAGCATGTGCATTTTGTGGACACTCAGGTCAGCTCTCAGGGGACCACCTTTCAGTCCCCCGACAGGGCACGCCCATGCCGGCGGCCCCACATCCTCTCAGGAAGGTGTCCCTGCGCGCAAGCAGCGACGGAGGCGTGAGCTCAGGCCGCTCACCGCCACCGCCTCCTCAGCAGCAGCAAAGCTACGAGCTCAGTGAAACCAGAGCGCCCAGGCCACACAGGAAGGCTCACCGTCCCATGCGTGACAGAGCCCGCCGCCGTGCTGGAAGGAAGCTGCTGCCCACGGGGGAACACTGGTGCCCGGGCCCCAGCACATGGTGATCGCGGCCCCAGGGTCTTGGCAGAAGGCTCTCTGTGCAAGCCCCAGCACACACGACGTGCAACCACCTGGCACCAGCACAACTAACAGAAATCCTCACACCAGACACACGCGGACCGTAGTCGGTCCCTCGCCCACGGGGCAGGCTGCAGAAGCCCCGCGGATGCCTGAAGCCTGTATGAACACAGCGAGGACGGAGCTGGACTGACACGGAGACTTCCCAGTGCCCCGCGGTAAAACAGAACGTCACAGCGACACACCGCTGCGAAGACGTGTGTAAGCGCAGACTCTCCGGGAGCGTCGCGCCATCTCTCACCGCGCCTGCCCTTCCTCCTCTGATGGAGACATGAGGGGGCGAAGGCCGTGGGCACGTGATGTGCTGTCAGGGCACTACTGGCCGTCTGACCACATGTCCAGAGGATGGCCCCCAGCCTCCCGAGCACAGCTGGCCACAGTACCCAGGACACGCCTCAAGTCCCTTCCAGGGACTTGAGCTGAGCTGCGTTTACAGCGAGCTCTGGCAGCAGGACAAAGGAGGGACAGAATCGAAGGGGACTGTGGCTGCTGGGGGCTGGGAGAGGTGACCGGTCCCAGACACAGGGCCCCTGACAGACACGCTGTGGAGCGCCCATCAGCGCGAGCTGCAGCCTGTCTGAACAGCCCTCTCCAAAGGGTTCGACAAACACGACAGGCACGGGTCACTGCACAGGTGAGCATGGGAGCATCAGGACAGGGCACAGGCGAGCACGGGGGCTAAGGACAGGGCACAGGTGAGCACAGGGGCATCAGGACAGGGCACAGGTGAGCAAAGGTGAGCACGAGGAGATGGGAACAGGGCACAGATGAGCAAAGCAAGCCTGAAGCCAGGGCACAGATGGGCACAGGTGAGCACAGAGGGCATGAGGACAGGGCACAGGTGGTGTGGGGATCTCCCGACAGGAGACAGGTGAGTAAGCTCAGAGTTCTCAATCCTATTTCCGAGGACCCTCCACTCACTGAGCGGAGTAAGACAACTATCTGGCATGTGTGGATTATGCCAGGGTCCTGTGGTAGATCTCATAGTTCCCAGAACCCAAGTGTACTGAAAAACAGATGTTTTTGGCAAACAGACCACTGAAGGAACTCATACAAAAGACAATTTGTTATCCAATCGAATGTTCTTGATAAATCCAAGAACCATTACACGAACATCAAACCACCTACATAAGGTCCACAACGTGTACAAGTTTATACACACACAAGGACAACTCTAAAAAAGCAATCCACCCCGAATTATCTCAAAGGAACACGGGCCACTAGAAAACAAAACCAGTCCAGCACGTTGCTGGCAGAAATGACCCCTTTCTTTCGCAACTCACTCGTTTTCAGGAAGCTTCCTGGGATTCTCTCCAGAGGTTCCGGAATTTCCTACATGCCTCACCCTCCCTTCCAACCTTCCTTCTACTCTAACGGAAGACCTCGGGGTCACTGCCTTGCAGACTGGGGTGCACTCTGAAACCCACCCGGGAAGCAGGACTGGCACACGTTTCCTCATCTTATGACGTCTGTTCTCTCCTCCCAGCCTGGACTGTGAGTGGCACAGCACACGGGACTCAGCCACGCGGACGCAGGACTGTGAGCCCCACGTCTTCAAGCTCAAAGAGCAGGGACCTGAGACAGCATCCGCTGAGACAGTGCGCCGCGTTCCAGCAGCGCTCCGCGAGGCCCACGGGTGTCTCCTGCTACCTGAACGCCACTTTAAGACCCTCTCTGGGCGTGGAGACATTCAGAAGGAACACAGGTGGTGACGGCATCTTCTGACACCTGGCTGTCCCTCCCATCAGCGGCACACTCTGTCCAGGATGTCCCCATGTGACCTTGCACGACGCTGCTCGGAGGCCACCCGTGGCCACTGCGCCACCAGCTGACCACAGCCAGCAGCCAGGCGTACAGGGACCGCCTCTCCAGTCTCAGCTGCCTGCTGGCCTCCCAGGGACCTTTTCTGCTCTGGACAGAACTGCAGACAAGAGGGACCCTGTCGGACCTGGGCCTGGCCGTGCACATTTGCTTCCCTGCTTCTCCACTACCAGTTTCCAAACCCTGCAGTCCGTCCCGCCGTGCTTCCCAAGAACCGGGGATCCGGGAAGGGGAACGGAGTGGAGGGTCGACTCTGGCCACCACCTGCCCGGGCACCCAGTGTCCGTGCCCAAACACAGTTGCGGTCTCCCCGGCAGGGCGCGTGGGACCTGGATCTCTGGTCTCATCGCGTCTACAGCGTAGCCCGACACCCGCCAGATCCAAAGCCCGAAACGGCTTGCGCCTCCCACACGCCCAGTTGCTGAGGGGCCAGACTGTTCCTTCTCGGAGTGACAGGTCGCCCTGAACACTTATTCCACGGCAAGATCACAAACATCCCCAACACGAAACCGGCGCCACCACTGCCGACCCCATTCAATGCCAGTGTGTGTCTATGGGGCGGCTGTGGGGCCAGGGAGGCAGAGGCCAGCGGGCCCCTCCCCCAGCTCCCTGTGGGGTCAGCAACTCCCTTAGAGATACAGGAGCACGGAGGAAATTTGTTTGGAGAAAACATTTTTATGAAACAAAGAACAGCACGTCCACCGGCTAACGTTCAAAAAACGGGAGCGCGGAACTTTGCACGTCTGCAAGTAGGGTCCAGCCGTCGCCGGGTAAGCCACCCTCTGCCCACGATAATCTGAGCTGCTGGGGAGACTCTACGCTGACGGGAACCACGGACATTCTCCTGCTGCTGCTGAAGATAAACTAAAACGCGTCCTGCTACGTTCAGGTCTTCCCGGAGTGTGGCGTGGTGCTGGGGCAGAAAGGCCACTGAGCGCCGGCCGGCACCGGCTTCCGTCCCCAGCAGAGCCCAGCAGGGGTGCCAACAAGGGGCCATGTTCCCTCGGACGCACGATACGGTTTTCTGCACAGAGGCTGCACGACCGCCTACAAACGGAGACCCCCACAGGCAGGCAGGACCTTCCTCTCGAGGGCACTGGCCCAGGGCAGGGCGTGAGGGCCACAGGGCCTGGGGCCGGTGGACTCAGGATTGGCTGACGTGAGAGTTCCGGGCCTCTCTGAAGATGACCCAGGAGACAGACAACAGACTGACCTACAAAATTACCGCAGCTCAGTGCCGTGAGGTTCGGAAAGAAAACCGCCGCTGTATTTAGTCTCCAATTCAAAACGTCGTCAAGGCCGTTATCCTTACTCCCACAATTAACCCTTTGACAAAACAGAAACCCCACCGAGGGGCCTATCTTCAGGGCGTAGGGCTGAGATCCCGCGAGGGGCTGCTGGCTGGGCCCGGGGCAGGAGGTCAGAGGGTGTCTCGCGGGGCAGTGCAGGCCACCAGTGGCCCCGGCCCCACCAGCCCGAGGCCGGGCCCTCGCCAGCGTTGCCGATGCCCTGACACGTCACTCAAGGCCGCTGCGCGTGTCTCGGTGGAAGCGTCCCTGGGAAACCAAGGGTGGTGGTGAGCACGGTTGCGCCCTGTCCCCGGCGCCCTGGCGCCCGCGGGCCTCACCTCTTTGTCCATACTCTCTAAGTCCTCCTTACACAGCGTGTACAGCGGCATTGTCTCTGACATGCTGGGCTGTCGCTTCCGTCCACTGGGGCCGGGCTGCTCTCCGGGTCGGCGGTCGGGCAGCTCCTGAGCAAGCGTCTGCCGCGGCGGCTGAACCACTCTGAAATGAATGTCACAGGTCCCACGTGAGGAAGGTCACTTGGAAGGACTCCTGACTCTCGGAGCAGGTGCACACGCACACGCACACGCACACACAGCATTCTGGCTACGACAAACCACCGTGTCTCCGCACAGCACCTGCTCGGGCTTTCTCTGAGCGCCGCCTCCTGCTGGAAGCAAACGCCCGCCTCCTTCCACCAACATGGCCCGGCTCGACCGGCCTCCCCCGTCTTCGCACAGAGGGCGGAACGGGAAGAGCTAACGAACCGCGGCCTAGAAAGCAGCAGGAAGCGTTCCTTATCCTCGAGTACGTCAAGCAGACCGCAGGGCTTCTAAGACGACGAAGCCGAGAGACTGTCTCCCCGTGGTCCGCGGAGCAGGAGGACGTGCGGCAGAAGCAGGTGACGGGCTGAGGTCAGCCGTCCGCTGGAGGGCACGGCTCTGCTCAACGGTCAGATACGAACACAAAACCCAGCAGCGTTCGGGCGATGCTCTTCCCCGGGCCCGTCCCAGGCTGGGCACAGGGAGCTTGTCCCAGCGCCTCCCACAGGAGTGCAGGCCTCCATGTCAGACCTGACGCATGCGCTCTCGCGCGTCACTGCCTCGATGGGGAGTGGCCCGTGAGCGCCCGGCGGGTCTGGCACGAGTGGCTATTTAAAGTGGCTGCTCGCGGGGCTCAGAGCCTGCACGAGGAGCCTCGGGCCCCACGGTCATTGCCAGCCACACGCTCCCTCCCTGAGATCCTGATGCAGGGAAACCTCACGACTGCGAGCTCTGTCCACACCCGCAAGCGAAGAGAAGCAGCTGGGGAGGCAGCTGGCGTCCTCTAGCAGACGCGGGACTTCTCCCCGCGAACACGGAGCGCCACCCTCCGCGCCCCCAGGTGTGGGGACAGGCGCCGCCTCGCGAGCACCGCCCACGTGACAGCGTCTACACAGCTCTCCGCCGGCACAGTTGGACACCACCACACGCACTGGCCGGCGGACCCAACATGGGAAAACAGCAGTGTCCGAAAAACAAGTATGTTGGGGTCTCCCCTTCAGAACAACAATTTCAGTTGAACCAAAACCTGAGACGTGCCGACAGGTCAGGGCACGTGGGCCGGCCAGGCCGCTTCTGCAGGCTCCGGCACTCCCGGGCGCTGGCCCCCGACTCTCCCTTTACCAACGACAGGCCACACCGGGGGTGGGGTCTCCACCGAAGGGCAGCTCCCAGCCGGTGGGCACAGGCAGCCAGGAAGCGCTGTCCTTGGCCAGAAAGCCCCAAACATGCAAACAAGCCACTCTTCTTACGCGTCTCGTCCGCTGGGAACAGCTGTTTCACTACTAACGCGATCCAGTGTTCACACGTGATGGCTCACGGCTGCTCGGAAATATGTGCGTGTCTCCCAGGTAGCTCAGTTCCTGTGTCTGACAAGGTCAGCTCTGGGGGACGGAGGCCCAGGACAAAGAGCTCCGTGTTCCCGACACCAGGCTGCTCGCACAGCTCCCCCCAGACGGCACCACAGACACAAGAGAAAATGAAACGCAAAGGGATTCTGTGTCTATTCTGAATCGCAAGCTGACCTCCAGTCCCAGGCAGGCAGGTGGGGCCTCTGTCACCCTCTGGGAGCCCAACCTGAGACCCGGGCCTCCAGGGGACCAGAGGACAGACCGTGGAGGAGGGCTGGGAGCCGGCAACGTGAAATACCAACGGGCGGACAGGAAGCCTCTAGAGCAGGCTGCTCGCTGCAGGAGGCTCAGGGAAAGGCCACCACGCAGGACAGGGACGCCTGGGACAGGCCCTGCTCCATCGCGGGCCACCACCAGCAGTTGTGGCTCCCGCCAGGAGTCTCCAGGAAGGCTGAGTGGGGAGCCAGGACCTTTCCTCCTGTCCAGCCTGAGATGAGCGCCCCACAACCGTGCAGCGTCCCTGGAGACCATGGCAGGCAGAGCCTGGACAAGCACCTCTCCCTGCAGCTGACAAGGCCCCCACCTGGGCTGGAAGGTGTCGGACTCAGACGTTCACCTCCACCCAGCGGTAACCACGGGGACCGCGGGGGGCAGCCGGAGCCCCCACGGCCTGGCGGCAGCAATCGCCCTCATGCGGGTGCCAACGGCGGCCAGCACAGACCGGGACTTCTCCCCGCCAGGCACAGGGGAGGCGGCCAAGCTCTCGGTCTGGGAAAGGTCCCGACACTCACGTGACGTGAAGCCGTCCTGGCTGCCATCGAAAATCACTCGTCCCACCAAGAACCAGGACGGTCTCCAGCAGAACGAACGTCCACTCGGAGACAGCGGAGGCGCCAGAACTACCCGACGCAGACGTCAGGCGTCAGGCGTCGCAGTGAAAAGGCTTCCACGAGAACGACAGGCACACGCAAGGAGCATGAGAAAAAGCGAGCAGCTTGGGAGCGGGAGACACGGTAGCAGCTGCAGTTTCTTAAAAATGCAGGGGACGGGATCAACTTTGTAAGGAAGGAGACAGAAACGGCAAAATCAGTAAACCTGAAGAGCCGTACGACAGGGAGGAGAGAGACTGATCAGAACAGGCGAGAAGACGACGAGATCCAGTCCTCGCGTCCCAGAGGCGGGGAGGAGGAGAAACACGGCGGAGGTGGAAACGGCCTCAAAGAACAGGGGATGGAAATGTCCCGAATTGGGCGAAAGACGTTAAACTTTCCGATTCAAAACGCTGAGTGAATCCACATTAGGACACATCCTCATCAAACTTATTACTCAAAACAAGGAAAAAAATCTTGAAAACAGCAAGAGAAACAGAATTCAAATGACAGGACAAAGGAAAAAACCACGTGATCCTATCGCTACAGATAAAGCACCTGAAAAATTTCACGCCCATTCAGGATAAAAACTCACGGAAATCTGGGAAGAGGGGCGAACCCCCCTTGCTTGGTAAACAGCAGCTGCAGAAAATCTAGACCCAGAAACGGAACATTTTCACCTGAAGATCAAGAAAAGACGAAAATGTCTGCAGACGAAGGGAACAGTGGGAATGCAGACGTGACCCGCACAGGCGCACCCCGACACCGGACACCAGCACCAAAGCCAAGGACAGAGGACGTGCAAGAGCGAAACCGACCCGCCACCGAAAGTCTCATTCCCCGTGCAAAACCCCAGATGGGTCACGGTCTTAAACACAAGACGTGAGAGCTATGAAACTTCTGAGTAAGACAGAGGAGGAAACCTTTAGGATCTAGGACCCCAGAGAGAGTTCACAGACTTGAGAGTAAGTGTGTCCTTCGTGGAAAGAAAACAAATCCACGGAACCTGATTCACCGAAATGAGCCACTTCTGCTTCGCCCGGCTCGGTGAAGATGATGAAAAGCTACAGAGAAGAAACGCCTTCCAGCCACACCGTCCACGGATGAGCAGTACCTGGAGCACAGAAGCAGGACGCGCCCTCCGCAGCCCCGTGACCGCCCCATGGGCAAACGGGCGAAGACAGACAGACGGACAGAGCAGGACGTGGGGGCCCACGTGCCCGTCAGTGGGACCGTTAAGAACGCAGTCAACCCCAAACACGGTGGGGTGTGGAGAGGGGACCGCACTGCTTCTGCAGGGAGTGAGGGAAGGTGCTGCCCCTCTGGAGGGAACCACGCACACGCCCGGCACACAGTGCGGCAGGCACGGCCCTGGGCTTCGGTCCCGCAGAAACGGACGCAGACACAAAGGCTAGGAGCAGCCCTCCCTGGGGGGCCCACCTCCCGCGGGGACCCCCTGGCTGTGGGAGGAGAGAATGACTGAGCGCATGTGAGTAGTGCGGCGATGGTGGCTAGCCCGGGGCCGAGCGGGGGCCGCAGATGTGCGAGAGCCTGTGTGTGTGGCACTGCTAGACCGACCGAAGGACTGGGGGGCGGGTTAGCAGTCTCGAGGTTATGGAGGTGGCGGGAGGGGGGCAGGCGTCGGGGGCGCTGGGCGTGGCGGCGGCAAGACTGGGCTGCAGGCGTGCATGGGGTGAACCAGGGAAGGGCACCCGGGCTCGCTCTCTTTGTACCCCTGCCTGTGGGTCCACAGTGACCTGAAAACAAAACGTCTTTTTCTTTTAAAAGATTTTACTCACTTATTTGACAGACAGAGATCACAAGCAGGCAGAGAGGCAGGCAGAGAGAGAGGAGGAAGCAGGCTCCCCGCTGAGCAGAGAGCCCAATGCGGGACTCGATCCCAGGACCCTGAGACCATGACCCGAGCCGAAGGCAGAGGCTTCACCCACTGAGCCACCCAGGTGCGCCTCAAAACAAAACTTTTAACAAAAGCAACAACAAAAAACCCCACAAACGTTCACAACTAAGAGCACATCATCACAATGGGTTAAAAAAAGAGGAATTCAGAATTCTGGACGCCGTCCTTGCAGGGGAGTAAGTCCAGACAGACCACGTGGAGAGCCCCTGGCTGCTCTAACCCTGCCCCACCCCCGGACCAGGGTGCTCACCTTCCCCTGAAGGCACACCCTGGGGTCCCTGCCAGGGGAGGCCCCTCGACCCAGCCTCGGGAGGAGAGGACGGAACCTGGCCTCATGCCCGCAACAGCAGGGGTGCCCCAAGGAGCTCTGACCTCGAGTCTCCGGGTGAGCCAGCAGCCTAGAGCCCAAACCATCAAGGCAAGGCGGACACTCACAGTTCCCCAGGCCTTGGTCAGACAAGCGCACAGAGCAGCGTCTCTGCCCACAGGCCCAAGCGCCATGTCACAATGGGGTCTGCACAGGGTTCCAGGTTCAGAATGGAGCTGAGCCACCACTCCTGGGGCTCTCCATCCCACAGCCCTCGACACACAGGGACAGGGCGGCCTCAGGCAGGAGAGGCACCAGAGCCTCGATGGGGGGCTGGTGCAGGCTCGTGGCCCATGATTCCAGGGACGTGGCTGTGTACACTGGCACCTGTGAGGGCAGACAGAGCAAACGGAGATGCCCTGGGTCGCTGTGCGTGGACAGGGGGACTAAGGACACAGGCATGTGCGGGCACGGTGTGAAATCAAATGAACGGGGAGCTCTAGCCCTTCCTCTCTGCCGCAGCCATGAGCCACGTGGGGACGCTCCCTGTACAGAGCACCTGTGAGAGCGTGACCCGGGCCCTGCCTGGCCCTCCGGCCCCTGGGCCTGGACGGCTGCCACGCCTCCCGCGGCACTGGGGCACTGTGTTCGCTAGTTTTACAACGCAGAGCGCTCTGTATGCTAAGAAGGAGAGGGACAGGCGTGGGCCGCCCCCCGCACGCGACTCACGTGCCCTCCCCGATGGGGGCGGCGGTAACCCATGACTCATGTGGTGCCAATCACCCTCCCGAGCTCCAGAGAGAGGAGAATCGCGTCAGGCGGCCTGCAGCCAACTAACACACGGTGTGCACTTTCCTCCGGGAAGACGGGGCCACAGGTTGTCGTCCTGCGCCGTCCCAACCGTGGGCCGCGGCTCCTGCTCCCACACAGCTCACACGGGGCGCTGGCGGCTGCGGGACAATGGGGGCCCTGCGGAAGGAGGCGGCCCCCGGCCGGAGCTGGGTCCAGCTGGCGTCTGCACGCGTTTCCGGCCACCACTTGGTCGCTCCTCCCGCACCGGACGTCCTGGCTGACCGCCGCTGACTCTGAGCCTGCGACCCCAGCCGTGTCTGAGCCCCAGCTCTAACCACTCCCGACGTTGTTCTCTATGCTCAAAGATTAACTGAAAAGGTTCATGATCTAATTCCCGGTAGCGTGAAAAGCAGATTCTAAAAACCAGAAACCGCTCACGTGAGCGTCGGTACAGCCCTGACGTCGTGACGGCTCCAGGTGACACCAGGGCACTGAGGGCTGCGGCTGGCACTGGGCGTGTGGCCCGCACTGCTGACGCACAGCTTCCCGGAGGCGGAGCGCACGCCCCGCACGAGACCCCCGCGGACAGAAGGCGAACACGGCGTCCCAACGGCAGCACAGCGCATCCTCGAGAAGGGAGCTCTGGATCCTTGTGACACAACCCCCCCCACGCCCGTGCCCCCGTCCCCCGTGCGACTGTCGTAAAGTGCGATACAGCTTCGCTCTCAGCGCTGGCGTCTGGGTCAGTCTGGGCGAGGAGCACGGCAGGGTGTCAACTCGAGTGGATGAGGAGAGACACGAAGGGACGGCTGTTGCGGCGGGAGACGCTCTCACCTCTGCGGCTGGGCCATGGGTCCCGGTGTCAGCAGAGTCCCCTGCGGCCCCCACCCCCGTCCCACAGCCTGTGCTCCTCCTCAGTCTGACCTGGGACCGCCATCCATTTGCTCAGGGTACCCTCGCTCCTCTTCACAGCGCTGCCGCCCGGCTGAGCCCAGCGCTCGGGGGAGCCACACCCAGGCCATAGCACTGCCCCGTGGAAGGACAAGAAATGAGACGACCCCCAGGGACGCTCCCCTCACCACTGTATAAGCACCTGTAACATGAGGGCCATGAAGTGAGGAAGAAAAGCACGGCAGCCTCCCACGTCCCCAGAGACTGTGGCACAGGGTCCAGGTGGCCACCTGCCTGCCCACCACTGACCCTCCTCCCGGCTCTCCCCAGTGTGCCGCACAAGCCCACCAACGGCGTCAGCACCTGTTTCCTGCAAGCGTCCCCGCAGCGTGCCCCCATGCACACGGGCTCTGCAAGCGGCCCCCGGCATCAGGGTCGCAGAGCCTACGCCCAGGACACCACTGAGGGAGCCGAGCGTGCCTGTGCTCGAGAGACAACCAGCTCCTCCAGAGGGAGACGTGTGAGCACCAGCTTCTGCCCGGCTCGGCACCTGGCCTCCATCCCCCTGCCCCGTGCCGTCTGTGGCCGCGAGGGCTTTCTCAGGTTCTGGTGGCCGCGGCTAGGGCCACGGGGAAGCAGCTGTCCTCATGCACCTGCCAGCGCCCAGCCCGCTGGGACCGTCTTCCCTCGTGTCTCCCTGCTCTGCCTTCCCCCCCCCAGCTCACACCGGGCCAGGAGAGCCGGACCCTGCCCACGGCCCCAGTGTGCGCCCACTGTCCACCCAGCACATGCTGCCCCTCACGGTGTGAACCGCTGTCCACGGCCCGCGTGGATCGGACACCTAGTCTTTCTTACTCTCACGGTCCTGTCACCCTTGACGCCCACTGAGCCCGCTGTCCGTGTGGCAGCTAACGCAGCTGCTCTCCTGCCGCTGCGTGAACACCGCATTTAGGCACACACCTGACCTGTTACTTGAACGTGTGCGTCAGCTCGTGCTGCCTCCGTTTAGGAGGATCTTAATCGTACGCCCTCAACACGGTATCAGTACCCGTGGTCAGCGGCACAGGATACACACACTCACGGCACGCGTGAAAGCCGCACTTGCACAGCCCTGCAAGTGAGCGCCCCGACCGCGACGGCCCGCTTTGTTTCCTGATATCCAGCTTGTGTCGCGGGTTACGGGATCTGAGGATTTGTTCCGCCCTGGTGCGGGGCCATCTGCAGACGTTAAGTCCCTGTGCTGACCCGCCCCGGCTCCTTCCCATTCTTCTCTGCTGCATCCCGTGTGCACGGATTCTGAGGACTGTCTCCGGTTAACTGTAGGTGCGACTTCCCAGTTCTGGAACAGGCTTTTGTTTTCCGCATCAGCTACAAGTCTCTGCAGACCTTCTCCGCCGTCCACCTGTTTTGCCCGTCCGACTTCATCAACACAACACTGTCACTTGAAAAGCTCTGTCCCCTTCTCTGGGACTCTATCCCAAGTCCCAGCGTGCCGACCGCTTCAACCCCGAGCTTGGTCCCCAGAGCCCAGGTGCCTGGCTTCGCTCCACGCAAACAGCCGTGTGCCTCCCAACCACAGCTTTCCTGGTGATTCTTACTTGGCAGGACACCCAGTCCGATGAAAGGCACGCCACAGCCGCGCTCCAGCAGCATGTTCCCCAGAGGAGGGCTGGTCGAGGGGGCACGGAACCATCCGCGTGCTCGGGCCCCGGCAGTCCGCACTGAGCCCAGCACCCGTGAGCAGCTCGCCAGCCTACTGTCCCCCCAGCTCTCCCGTACTGGGAGCATCTATTCACACCGGCCTCCACCTGGACCACACCTCGGTGCTGCCCTGGCCACAGAAAGCCCCGAGAAGCCAGCTGTCTGCCCCAAGAGCCCCAGAGCCGCGTGGTCCTCCCGCTACCAGGCTGGCCTCCCACTGGGGCCAGAGTCCCTCTGACGGCCTCCAGCAGGCACCGTGTCAGCGGCGCTGCTTGAATCTGCATTAACCATGGCCTTTCCTCCACCCGAGACCTGTGCCCACACAGTCTGGTCCAACACCTCGTTCTTCAGCACAGGGAGATCGGCCTGTCCCTCGGCCCCTGGGGCAGCGCCCTGCACACCTGCATGTTCCCTTCAAATGCAGGAAGCTCAAAACCGGGGTGAGCTCACCATCTCAGAGAACATTTCAGCAGTAAAAATGACCATTCACAGCGTGTGGGACAAGGCAGCGCACGGAGTGCGTCCGCAGCATCCACACGTCGTCAGAGCTCTGAGGGGAGGAGGCAGAATTAGCCTAGCGAGGGCTCTCCCTCACGTCTCTGCTCACAAGCAGCCGCCACAACCGCCCCCTCAGTCTCATCTGGGCAGGAAAGTGAGACGGGACACCAGGGGACCCCAGAGCTGCCTCCCCCTCTGGCCGCCGCCTTCCACCTCCAGAAGGGACGGACCAGGGGGCACTGGCACGGAGGGTCTCCTGCGGGGGGATGGGGGCCGACAACAAGGTGCAGGTCAGGTCTGCAGTTGGAAAAGCTTGTCAGGCAAACCACAGAGCAAACGTGCGAGTGTGTCGGGCATGTGCAGGACACCTCATGGGCTAGACCCCGGCCCGAAATGTTCCAGGGTCGGGGACCAGGACGGAACAGAACCTGCACGAGGCCCAGTGCCTCCATAGGGAAGCCCACCCCAGGGTATGGCAGAGCCCCAAGTCCACGTTCTGCCAGCACCAGCGGGTCAGCGCTCAGCGAGTGTGGCAGGCCCGGGCACCTGGGCACCTTGCTGTGGCGCGGCCGCGCAGGCTCATGTACCTGAAGGAGGAGTGCTCCGCGTGCACTGCCAGGGAGCCAGGGGGCCCGGGGCCCGCAGCGCCTTTCCGGATGAGCTTGCCCGTGTTGGCGTCATAGATGCGAACTTCCGGCCCAGCCTGGGCCCGGGGATGGACAGGCGTCGGCTGGAACAAGGCAGCCGGTAGTGCGCCCTGCCTGTCGGGAAAGGCTGCTGGGCCATCCTCCCTGCGGGGACAGAATGAGGGCTGAGAACACGCGCTGCACGGACGCCGGCCTGGCCGCAGCTGCCGGCCTGTCCAGACAAGGACAGGCGGAGCGTGTGCCCCGTGCCCTGCCCGGAGCCTCACACAAACTCTGCAATCCCCGCCCCTCTGATGCCTGGTTCAGGGCTTCACCCCGGAACACAACAGCCGAAGTCTGACAGAGAACAGGACGCATGTTCTCAAACCGTCTTCGATAAACAGACCGTCGCCCCACAAGCCCACAGAACCACTAGGCCCATCAGGCTCCCACCCGCCCCTCGCTCTGGTCACTGTTACCCTGGCCACTGGCCCTCCGCGAGGCCAGGAAGGAAGCGCAGGCAAGCTGGTCCTCCCTGCCGCATGGCCGTGCCGGGCAGGGGACGACCGGGCTTTCGGGAGGCGGTGGTGTGAGAGTCTGAGCTCTACAGGGCCGGGCCCTGGTGGTCCCGGAGACGAAGCACGCGTCCTGTGGCAGCACCCCGCGCTCGGAGGAGGGTGGGCACAGGCGCGGGCTGGCGCTCACCTCTGCACTCGGCCGTAGTCATCCCTGAGCGGGAAGAGCTGCTCCTCCACCCTGTCCCAGCGCTCCAAGCAGCTCCACAGCCAGTCGGGGTTGACCACGTGCAGCTGCCCGCACTCCTGGGCCTGGCGCACCTTCTCCGTGCCTGCGGGGAACCAGCTCGGTCAGTCCAGCCTGGGCTGCCGGCGCCGGCGGCCTCAATCACTCGGGCTCTGAGCCCTGCCTGGAACCATCTCTGCGTGTGAAACCTGGGACTTCACTCCAACCACCGCTGCCCGCCCCTGCCCGCCCCCCCAGAACAGGGACCCACTGTGGGGTCTCACAGGACCCACGGGCAGGGGAGGGATCTGACGGACCGATGGACCCCAGCAGAGCAGCCAGCAGGCACCTGTCCATTTTGGTGGGGCGTCCCACCGCTTCCGAGGCCTGCAGCCGACCACCGGAGATCTCCTCCCCAAGACCACGGGCTGGGCCTTGGCAAAGGCTGAGCGTCCCTGCTGTGGGCTCGAAGCCCCACCCAGCCTCTCTGCCGAGGCCACCTTGTTCCCTCACCCAGTGCTGCCCGCTGAAGGCCAGCGGCCGGTGGCCGGGAACGTGGTGTGGGTGCGTCCCTGCCAACACGTGTCTGTGTCCTTGGAAAGACTCTTCAACAGTTGGTGAGGACACCTGTCCCGCCCGCCGCAGGCGTGGACCGCACTGTGCTGCGCCCAGGGAGCAGAGGCCAGGCCAGCTACCAGCACTGTCAGCCATCAAGCGTCCCCGAGCGAACAAGCCGTGACACTGAGATTGGGGAGGAGGAGGGGGCTGAGCACCCAGGCAAGGGTGAGCCACAGGCAGAGAACGAGCCCGGCGCCTCCTTCCCCGCGCCCCTGGGCTCACTGCACGTGTGCGATGCCTGAGGGAGGCAACAAGGCTGCCCCCACCTCCCGGTTAAGATCTTCCCACATCTCACACCAGGATGGGCCACCCAAGGGCCTGCGGCTCAGTGGCGGGCGAGCGGGCCCCACGAGGAGGCTGTGACCTGGGAGGCCCCGCTGAGCAGGTGCAGGTGTGGGAGGGGCAGTGCCCGAGCAGCCGGGGACGGTCTTGGTTCAGAAGACACTGCACCATCACTGGTGAGGATTGGTTAAAAAAATCATTGTTTTTTTTTTTTTTTTTTTTTTTTTAGCAGCCCTGTGTGTTTCTTCTTGATTTGCCCCTTGCCGAAGGGCTGTTTTCTGGACTGAAATCCCGGGAGAGTAAGGGGGACGTTGCTACAGTGACTCTCCCAACCTCACCCCTAGAACGAAGTGGCTCCAGCCGGAACCTCCGTGCTGGCTCTTCTCAGGCTTCGCTGCCCACTCCCCACCGACCCGTGTGTGCGGACGCCGACGTACTTGGGCTCCATCATGAACTCCCCATCCCCCCTCCTCTGCCCGACCCACGTGTGCCCCCCCACTGCAGGCGGAGGAGCCCGACGTGCGGCACGCAGGGGCGGGGGGCTGGGAAACACCAAGTGCCGCGCCGGCGCTACTGTACACGGACGGCACACGCCCGCCCCCACCCAGGCGGACACACACAGCCCATGACGCCGACACACAGCCCGCGGCAGGCACGGAAGAGGCAATGATTCAGGACGAGGCTTCTGACAGCTCTGCAGACGCACAACCGGGCCCTTCTGGAGTGGCCAGTGGGGACTCCCTCCCGGGAGCACCATGGGGGTCTTCTGTGTCCGCCCCGCCCCCCGCAGGACGGTGGGAGGGGGACCGGCCTGGTGCACCTACCTGCCCTCGCCGCGATCAAGTGGGTGGCCCTGTTGGGGCTGCCGGGGTCCAGCGCCAGCTGCGTGAGGACCTTGGCTCCGAGGGCGGTGGCGTGGTAGTGCTCCCGCGTCTTCTCGATCGGGAAGTTCGTCGGGTGCAGCCCACTGAATATTATGGCGACGTCGGCCAGCACCCTGCTCTTGAGCTCCGGGACAATCTTCCGTATGTCGGGGGCCTCCGGGCTGTCCCCGAGGAGATGCCGGTCGTACCTGGCGTAGTAGTCAGAGTGCACTCGGGCGAGGATGTCCTCCAGGTGGACCAGGTGGTCGTCCCCGTCCCCGTCATCCTCGTCCTCGTCATCCTCCTCCACACTCTGGTCCAGGGACTCGCCTGCTGTGACACCTGACTGCTCGCTGTTCTGTGACTCGGTCTCAGCCTCCTTCCGGTCGGCAGAGCCGCCGCCCAGCCCACAGAGGCCGTCCCGCTCACCCTCCTCCTGCATGTCGGGGTGCAGGCCCGGGGCCGGCTCTCCGCATGGCCTCTCCCCTCCTGGGCCGGGTGGGCCGCCCCGCTGTACCACCTTCCCTGCACCTTGTGCTCCCTGAGGCCTTTCCAGGCTCCTCTTCTCCCCACTTTCACCGTCAGACAATGACTGGGCGTCTGACTCGCTGTCACTGGAAAGGTCAAAGTCCAGGTCACCGCCTGCTGTGCCCTGAGCAGCCCGCTTTTCCGGCAGTGTCCGATCAGGCTGCTGAGCACACACAAGGGGCCCCCTGCCGTCAGCCACGGGGCCACGGGCCGTGGGTCGACTGCCTCTCTCCTCCTCCTGCCCAGGCAGGGGCCAGTCCCCCCGAGCAGAAGCGCTCCCGTTGAGTTCCCTCGTGGGCTTCCCAAGACCATTACTCTGCTCAACCCCAGAGCCTGGCCGGCTCTCCTCGGTCTCCCTGACAGATAGAGCTTGTTCTGGAACGTCGGCCCCTCTCGGAGATGGAGTTACTGCAGGTGTGCACAAAAGAAAAGGGGACTGTTAGTTAGCAACCAGTGTGAAAGCCCTCGTTAAAGTAATGGCACCCCCCAGCCCCCGTCCCCGTGTCGGCTCTGACCGTGCTCTAGACCTGGGCTCAGCAAACTCCAGCTGTGAGGTTTCTTGCCACAGAAGGTCACTCTGCCTTGGTTTTACAATGGTTAGAAATGGAGAGGACACACTAGGCTTCCACGCTTGGATGGACGGCCTGCGGGCGGCCTCCCAGCCCCGCTGTGGCTTCACGCCGCAGCGCATCTCCTTCAGGCCCTACGGCACCTGGCCTGGGCCTCCAGCTCTTAAGTCACAGCCGCAGTCCCCGCAGGCCTCCGACAGCCTGAAGACCATCAGACACACTTCACACCGCCACTTCCACCCCCTCAGACAGACTCTGGCTCCACGCTTGCCCGACAGGTTGAGCCGGGGGGTTCCCTGCAGGCTCTGGGCCCGGGCCCAGCGCCCACCACCAGCAAGCAGGAGCTGCCTCGCCCCACAGCTCGCTCTTTCCAAGGATCGCAGTGGCCCAACTCCCGCTGTCCTGCTTGCCTTTTAAGAGAAACTGGGATGACAAGCAGGATTCAGACACAATGAATTACACAAACTCTTTAGTCTTCGTCCAACTGGGAAAATGTTTAGGTTAGTGCTATTCAAAAACAAACAAAAAAGAAAACCAAAAACCAAAGTGGAAACCAAACATCCCGGTTTTCATTCTTATAACTAAACGCCAGCCCTGTAAGGACTGAAAGACGAAGAAACAGAAACAACGCAGCCACGACAGAGGCGGGAAGCACGTGCTAACCACTCCTCTGCCGCCCAGAAGGTCTCACCCACCTTTCCTTCTCGCCTGGGACTCCCGAGACCCAGAGGGGGCGTTGATGTCCCCTATGCCCTGGAAGTAGACGTATTTCTTCACGGTGATCAGATTGGGGGCAAACTTCCAGACATCTTCTCGGTCATCAATAATGCAAACCATGGAGTCTCCACAGGGAAAGAGATTTCTAGAAGTAAAAACCAGAACTAGCACACTGAACGACGACAACAACGAATCAGTCAAAAGGCACGATGAGCTCTGGCAGGTATCCGGCAGATCGCAGATTCATCGGAAACAGACGGAGACCACGCTGAAGGCCTCCTGCTCAGCTCGTGTTTAAACTCTCCACGTTTCCAGACAAAGGAACATTAACACAATCACGCCTTCTCCACGGTGCTGCTCCTGACGGGGCTGCAGCCAGAGCCTAGTGTCTGGGGACCATGTCCCCGTCCCGGGAAGCTGACACAGAAATGGCCGCATCCCAGTACGTTTACAGACACAGGAGACGAGCCTGTGGGCCGGCCTGCAGGCGCCCGCTCTACAGCGAAGGGCTTTCCTGGTGAAGGTGGGAGGACAGGCCCACACAGCGCAGCCCTCTGTAAGAAACAGCGGGCTCCTGCGGCACAGGACCTGCGCGGTCTCTGCTCAAGTCCAGAAAAGCTACCAGAACGTACGGGGTCGGCAGGCATGCTAGCAAGGGTTAGCCGTCTGACAGACGTAGGCACACCCACTACCCTCACATGGGCTCATGAAACTCTCTCCGTCCGTGATTCCGGGACTCAGACAGGCTCGTAGCATTCAGAATTCAAAGCGGACTTCGTCCTGGATCTGGGAGTAAACGCCAAGGCCCGCCTGCCACTGCTCCGTCCTGTGGCTGCCAACGGCGACAACTACCCGAGCAAACACGTTCCCGTGTCCAGGAGTAACACTATCTCCCGAGCCTGCTCCCCTCAAGTAAAACAGAAAGCAGCTAAAATTAATTTACACAGTCCACGCTTTCCGGCACGTTTAACTCCAGATGAGAGAGAGAAAAACTGGGAAAAGAGCATTCACTTGCCTGTACCTACACGCGCCACAGGTTGGCCACCCACACCCGCTGGGGAGCACGCCGCTCCCCTCTGGCGCTGTCCCTAGGGGGAGCTTCCCCTGACTCCATGACTGACAACACCCCTCACGTTCCTTTGTCTTCATCAACGTGCTCGGGTACTAACTAGCAAACGCCAGGTCGGCTTCTGAAGCAGAGACTTTCAGATTCTCCTCCTGGTTCCTGTGGCTTTGAATAGGTCCCTGTGCCTGTGGACACCCTAAATCCGAAACATGCAACGTGTAGGAGGACGGCCCACACCAGCGGAAGGCCAGAGGCCAGTGTCAGTGCCCAAACATCCCCGGGACGCACACGCACGGGAACCCGTTACAGCAGATACCATGCTGTATGGGAGGGAGAGAGAGAGTGTGTGGGTATTCGCGGGGGAGGGGTTACTACCTTTCTGGGTAGAAATGGGGAAATTCCTTGGACACAGTGAACACGTGCAAGAGCCTCTGGACGGGGGTAGATGTGCCCACTGTGAAAGCACAGAGAGCAGGACGCACAGGGCACCTGGTGACTAAGGGAATGGAACCAGGGAGCAGATGGAGCAGATGGGGCTGTGACTTTGGATCTGGAAACTAACAGGACTAACAGCAGCAAGCTCCTCGGGAAACACAACTGAGACATCAACACCCCCTCCTTTCACATTGTCCTGCACCTGCGGGAGCTCTCAGCCCCTCTGCCTGTCCCCTTCCGTTCCCCGCTGCTCCAGCCCTGCTCTCACTCCCCCTCCCCAGACCCTCAACCTGTGGGGCTCTGGCTACATGCCCTGGGAGCCCGCCAGGGAGCCCAGCACAGCCTAGACGCTCAGGGAGTTGGGGGAGGAAGGAGCCCGGCTAGAAGACAGCAGGTTTCTGGGTGCCGTGCGAAGCCGGGAACGGGGATGAGAAGCACAGAACTGCCGGCCGCACGTGCTTTCCGCTGGACACTGAGCAGAAAGCCTACTCAGCGAACACAACAAGTACGTACCTGAGGTTCCCCGTTTTAGAAAATGGGTCAATACACTCATCCCTTGATAATATTCGATGAGAAAAAAGCTTCTTCTCGGGGTCTAAAAAGCCTTTGAAAAGAAGACAAAACGAAGGTCAGACATGTGACAGGTTGATGTCCCCCTCTGTGTTTGGTGAAGCCCCTTCTGTTCACGACACTGGGACACTAAGCGTCCCAGACTGGCACCAAACGCTCTAGTCTCTCTTGGTAGGACCACGATTCACTTACGGTTCCTCTTAACATCTTTAAGGGCTTCTGTTCACTAACCATTTGCTGAATTTGACATGACCTGGAATTTGGCTGAGCTCAGAACATAAGGACTAAACAAAGCTTCACATCACCCCCCGGGGCGTGGTGCCCGTGGGGACAATAAACGCGTGAGTACATCATTTCTACCCACCACGCTGCACGTACACGAGGGGCTGGGCCCCCAAATTCTGGTTCTGCCACTGTGGGCAGCTTCCCTGTGCCTTGGGCTACTTGCAAAGCAAGGCAGGGAACGAGGCTCCCAGCAGCCTGTCCTGCTCGCTCCGACAAGCTGACCGTACTCTCGGCACATCAGGAGACCCGGTCAGCGCCGTGACGGCAGACGCGGAGGCCCGTATGCTGAGCAGGCTGGCCTCCCGTCCACCTCCCAGCAGGACCCCGAGACCACACATCTGACTCACGCCTTGTCGGAGAGAAGGTGCCCCATGCTCTGGTGTCTGCACACGCGAGGCCGGCCACACAGCAGGGAGGGCGGCCACCTCCGGTTGCTAACATCTGTGGGCTCCCCAAGCCAGCAGCATTCACTAACGGAGGCCGCTCACGCCCACAGGAAATGTTACCAACACGCGTTCTCACTAGTTAAAGGACATACCGATCCTGTACGGACACCGATGCCACTCGGTGGCTGGTCTCTACAATCAAATAAACGAAAATCACCCCCACCTCTTAATCGCTGTAACAAAAATAGATCTATCCTAATTATACTAAAAATATATACCCTGCGAAAATGGTAACTTTTAAAACTGAAACCTGACAGGATGAGGACGCTACAGAAACCGTGGGGGTTAAACACCAGGGCAGGACCTCCAGCCATCCTCTGTCAACAGTCAAACCCACCCTCGATGCCAAACTCAACCCCCCCAGCTCCAAGGCCTTTCCGTGCCAGCAACCTGCCCTCTGAAGGCCGACCCCTCAGAGCCACGCTGGGCACGCATCCCATGGACCGCGGCTTCCTCCCAAGTCCTCGGGTGGGCACAACGCGGTCGCCAATGCTAAAAGGCAGCCTGGCAGTGATGGGTCCCCTGGCCCGTGGCGAGGCTACTTCCTGTGACGTGTCTGCAGGTGTTGGGACGTGGGAATGCTAAGCCTGACACAAGGAAGAGGCAGACTGCCCAAGGGCCGCTGGGAATGTTCTCTCGGCCTCCAGGTCCCCACCGCCCCAGGCCCCTCTTCCTAAGTCAGTATTATCTTCACTATCTCTCTGTGGGCCCCACTGCCGGAGATGTGGAGAGACACGACGGCTCCAGATCATCCTGCGGCCAGGAGGCAAAGCCCAAGGGGGGCACCCAAGGACCCAACCACTCCTTTGGCTGCGGGTGCCATTGGTCACTGGCAGGAGGGTTCCATGGAGTGGGGACACCAGGCCACCACTCAACAAAGCAAACACAAGATGATGGGATTTCAACACGCGGCTGCTGTGCTCACGACGAAAATTACAAAGGTGCTACGTGTTCAAGGGGGGATTCAAAAGTCACTTCTCCATCCACAAAGACCAAGACCAACCAGTAAAAACACTTCCACGAAGAAGGACTTAATGTGGCCACTGTGGAATGACTATGGAAGTGCCGTGGCCAACATCCGTGGAATCAGAGTGGGCCGGAGCCCTGCTGTCCCCAGCACTGCCACCAGCACGTACCACCCCCGGCCCAAGAAGGCCTCCGCACACACACTGCCCAGCACAGCTCCAGAGCCAAACCAGCGCGTCCGTCACACACAAGAGACAGCCAGGACGCCTGTGCTCCGACTGTCCAGTATGGACAGACACCAGCAACCTGATGCCAGGGGATTTCCAAACCAATGAACGAAACGACTTCATGTGTGCTCACGCAGGAAGTTTCTACTCTTCCACCTACTCGCAGTCCTGAGCAACCTTCGGACCGGCCCACAGCGTGCGTCCGACCAGAGTGCGAGCAGCCCACACATCTGGGGAAGCAACAGCCAGCTCTGAGACCGAACTGAGCCTGGGAGAGCTGGGTTTCTTCTCTCCATCTTCCAGAAGCCCACCAAACCCACCAGGGACGATGTTCACGCAAAGCTCAAGGTCACACAGGGGACCGCGGGCGGAGCTGCGCACCTGCGATGGTGTGGGCGTACAGCCGGCTCCCGAACGTGAAGACGTGCAGCTCGTACAGCCGGGCGATCTTCTCCAGGAACTCCCTGCAGTGCGGGCGCACGCGGGTGTGCAGCATCGGCTCGCCCCGGCCCAGCTGGAAGTGGAAGATGCCCTGCAGGGACACACATGCCCGGTAAGAAGCCAGAAGCTGCCGGACGGCACCCCCAGGCCGCGCCCCGCAGGGCGCCCACCCATGATGGACACCGACTGTCACCAAGGAGGGGACTGAGTGGCCTCGGTCGCTGAAGGACCACTGAGGACAGCACCCCGTTGCCACAGCCTCAGTGGTGTCGCCAGACCCTTCGGCTATTTCATTTGTGGTCTTCTCCTGGTAAGGGATAAAGCAAGCGTCCCGGAGTGAGGATGTGCACGTCCTGCTCAATCAGGAGCCTCCGCATAGCTGAGCCACAGCAGGTCACCCAGAGCAGGTCTCCAGTGACCTGCCGACAGCGTCCTCCTGAGGCCGTGACGGGGGCAAACCACAAAACTCAGTCCCACTCCTCGGCTGCTGTAACGTGCAGGTTTACGAACCTACAAACGCAGCACAAAAGCTGACCAGGTATCCTAAGCCCCCTTTAGCAGACGCACAGATCAGTGATACCACCCTGCTTACGTGTGACTGATACGCCAGTTAAGTTCACTTTCCTAAGGAAGCTAATCTTTGATCCTTTTCATCCTGCTTATCGTTAATTTTCTCAGTAAAAATATGCTGAACTGAAAACAAAAGCAAGCAACCCAGACGCTAAGTGACTTTCCACCAGCTGTGAACTGGTCAACCCACCCCGGATGCGGCTGTTCTCTGAAAACGTGCACGCGTGGATCAGAGCCACGGTCTCCTACGGCACAGGTGCAGCAGAAACGTCCTTGAAAACACAAGCTGGGATCTCCAGAGCTCAGAACTGAACACGCCTTTCTAGCTGCCACGGGCCAGGGTGGCACCGGAGGGCCGGGCAGGGGCGGAGGCGAGGACGGAACCCCCAGGGCCAGTTGCAGACTTGGCCTGTCTGCGCGGACGGGAAGACGCCTTCAGCGTGTAGATCACACAAGCTGAGCAACAGGCATGCCGCGGCGAGTTCCAACTTCTACGGAGTGAATGCGAAGTGCCAACTTCAAAGGCACAGTAAACCCCCGGCCGGCGGGCCAGCAGACACAGTGGCACGTCCGCGCCGCAACCCTCTCTCTCTGCGCGAGGTCCTCCAGCTCGCTGCTACACTCGCGAAGCAGAGGAGTTATCACGAATGACACACCCCAGAGGACTTCCGAACCCCTCCCGTCACACACTCGTATCCACAGACTCGGACCGCACCGTGCACAGACACGGCGAAGGCAGCCGAACGGCACAGGCTGCCTCGGGAGACGGGACCGGGCCTGAGCGGAGAGCGTCCCTGCTCACTGCCACCGGCAGCAGCGTGGTGGCAGAAGGACCCGCCGCACGTGGGACCCGTGGGGACGGCCCACAGACGCCCGCGTCACCGCGCGCTCACGAAGCCAAACTGCTTTCCGGCCGGGTTTGCAATGGCCCCCAGATGACACGCAGCTGTCACCGAATGCTGCGACCAAACCTCTCCCATCCCTCCACCCCTGTTGCTGGCCTGGCCTCGCCACTCCTGTCAGAGGCCTTCCCGCGGGGCTCGGCCACAGGTGCCGACGACCTGATGTCTGATCCCGAGTCTGTGTATCGACTGTCTGACAGCAAAGGAAAATGACTGTTTCCGTGTGGGTGAGGCCTCCTTCGTTAAGGACGGCGTAAGCTGGTCCCAGGCCTCGGAGAGCCGTCTTAACAGACGTCATTAAGCGCTTTCCAAAGGGGCCAGAAGAATGTCAACTTCTTAGCGTCCATACCAAGGAGAAGAGGTGGAACGTGGGAAGAGTTTAATGTGGACATTCCCTGACCCTTTACGTCTGAGAAATCCGCTTCCGTGTGGCATCGCAGGCTTTACCTTCGGTCTCTTGAGTACAGACCCAGGACCCACCTGGGCCGCTATCCCCGATATTTCAGCTATCCCTGGAGGCCCAACACCACCTCACTGTCCCCACCAAGACTGTCCCTCCTTTGCTGTCCACCTGCCCCGGGGCCTCGGGGCTTCCAGGTTCCAAACCCTCGACCCTCCCCACGAACCCCGCCACGTGTGGATCTGGTGACAGCAGGGCCAAGTGACCTGGGAGGCAGGAGCGTGCACCGGTGCTGCCCGGCAGGGACCAGCTCCGGGACACGAGCCCAGCGGCACAGGTCCTGGCTCCAGCCCCAGGAGGCACTCACTTTGTTGGACATCTGCTGGCAGTGCTGTTCTGTCGTGTGGATCAGCGTCTGGTCCAGGTCCACCATGAGCACCAGCTTCCTGTTCCGGTGCAGCCGCTCCTGGTCCTCCTTTGCCAGCTTCGCAGCTTGCTGAAGTCGGAATGAAAAGGAAAATCATAAAGTGTGTACGTCTGGGTCCAGAACCAAATCCGATTCTGTCAGGAAAAGCAAAAGGAAGCAGGGCAGTGGCTTCGCCACTCCCTGCCCCATCGCGCCGGCAGCCCCACTGCGCGCTAACACGGCCCCAGGGGCCACACGGCCTGCCCCCCACTCCTGAGCCACCTCCGCGACACGAGAATTTCTGACCATAATCCCGTACCTTAGTGTTAACTAACGAGAAAGCGGCAGACCACGAGCAGCCGGTCGGTGAGGACCGGCTGAGGGCGACGCGCTGCGGGCTGGAGGGAGGAGGCCGGCAGCAAGGCAAGACAGTGGCCAACTGTGGGGCACCAGGCGGGTGGGGAGCTGCGGCGGCGCCATCTCGGCCTCCTGCCGCGCTGCGGACACCGCTTCGCCCCGGGAGAGACCTGGAGATGGCGTGGCCCACCGTGGCCTGTGGGGCCAGTGTGGGACTCTTGGCCGGGCCAGCAAGTTTCAGGGTGCACATCGCTTCTGCCTCCTCAGTTCGGTCCCTGTTGCCACAGACGAGCTCCTGGTCCCGCTCCCGTCAGCCAGGGAAAGGCGGCGTCTGCCGCTGAGAGGGGCCACAGACACGGGCCAGCCAGAGTTCCGCCCTGGCGGCAACAGCGGGGAACCCTTTCTTCTCCTTTCATGCCCCCAACTTCTCAGGTCTGTCTCCGGCTCCAGCTCTCTTACTCGCTCATATGCTTTTCCGTATGTACATTTGTTTAAAGCTCAGTAATTCACGGAAGTCAAAATCCTGTCTTTCCCACAAAAAAATAAAGCTGGTACGTACCATTCCAAAGCACAGACCCGACAACTCCAACACTGAGAAACGCGTCACCGGCTCTGAAAGGGTCTCACAGGAAGGGCCGGCTTCCCCAGCACTTGTGGGAGGCTCCGTCCTGGCGTCCCCCACCCCCGCACCGCAGCTCTGGCCCATGAGAGCACGCGGTCAGGACGCCTCCACCCGCACTGCCTGTGAGGCCCTCGAAACACATGCGAAGCAAAGTCGGTCGCGAGCACACCCACCTGCGGGCTCCGGATGCTGGCCCGTGACGACCGCGTGGCACGTGTCATCCCCACCCCCACCCCTGTCCACTCCCCCAGCCTTGTCAGTGGCCGGTGCCGCTCGGACCCGACACTTCTCCCATCACAGGCGGCCGCCTGCACCTGTCTGTGCCCGCCCCTGCTGCTCTGCACACGGCAGGGAGCACACCTTCCCCTCAGCCCCTCTCAGCCTCCGGCTCTGGCCATGGGACCGTGGGAGCCACAGCACCCCAGGGAGCTCCGACTTGGGGCGGCGGGGCTGGCCCCTCCCAGGAAGCAGATCGCTTTGGGAAAGAAATGCGCGCGGCCTTCCGTACGGCAGGCAGACGGCAGGCGCCCCCCAGCCGCCCATCTCCCCAGCGGCTGTCCGGGAAGCCATCCCGACGACAGGCCTGGTGCCTCCGCGCGCCGCTCTCTGCACGGGGCGAGAAGCCCCCCCCCCCCGAGGTGCCCCGCTGTGCTCAGGAAACGTTCTCGGGCTTCGCCTCTGCCAGAGGCAGGCCTTACCTCGGAGCTCACCATGAGCTCGGGGACGCTGTGCACCATCGACACCGTGGCTGTGGACAGAGGCACCTGCTGCCCCCCGTTCTTGCTCTGCAGCCTGCAGGCACGAGAAGACACACCGAGTCGGACCCCCGGAACCCATCCACTCGCGGCAGAACGCACGCGGGGCACCGGGACGAAGAGGCTCACCCCCACTCAGGGGCCAGGGCTGGCTGGGGGGCAGGGTCTCCTCCTGCTGCCCGCTGCCCAGGTGCGGCCTGCGGGCTGAGAGCAGGTGGGAGAGTTCTCCCCGAGCGCTCCGCTCACCAAGGTCCCCGGCAATGAGCAGCGATGGCCGCATGGGAACGTGACAACACGGACGGGCCGCGCCGCTCTGCACAGCGAACGCGGGCGAGGGAGCCCGGCAGCGAGGCGGGGGGCCCGGGGGCGGGGGGCTGTGGGGTGCAGGCCGACCGCGGATGCGCAGCGGGCGTGGCTGCACGGGAAAGCACACCCGCCACGCCCGGGCTTCTGGAACTTAGGGAACTAAAACCGGAAAGGACGCCTCCCGGGGAGACGGACCTGACTCGCCGATAAGGAGGTGCCTGCCATCTGCCGCCAGAGGGGGCCGCCCCCTCGAAGCTGTGGGTCACCGTGTCTCACGCCCAGAGGCCCCGCCCCCACCACGGGCTGCCCATACTTACTGGGTCAGGTCTTGGCCACACTCGGCACACAAGCCTTTCATGACAACCGGGTGGCTACATCCTTCCAGCCGCACCAGAACCGACCTGGAGACAGAGATGAGAACGGTCCGCGGTGAGGAAGGGGAGCCCGCGCGCCCGCAGAGCCCGAGGCCCGGCACCAGCTCTCCCAGTGACCTCCACCTAGCTCCTGGCAGGCCGCACCCCCCACGCTGGGGCTCCGCCTCCCTGGCTGTGCCACGCAGGGGGCTTCGCACAACACAGCCGCAGAGGCCAGGCTGGAAGAACCGGGGGCACTGTCAGGAGAGGGGACTCAGGAGAAGGGACGACTTCGGACGCACGCAGGAGCGGCATCTCGTGCTTCTGGTCACGACGCGCAGGCGCGAAGGTTCCTACAACAAGCAGCACCGCCCTACGCGACTGACAAGAACGGACGTCGTCTCCCATGTGTCGTTCCCAGTCTACAGAGAAGTTACGAGCCACTGGGATTTTTCTGGAACGACTACTGTATTGCTGGCTTTTACCAATACAAAAATGGCCATTTCCTTCACACGCGAGCAGCACAAACCGCCAGGCTGTGTGGTCAGAGCACCAGCGCCGAGCCGGGGCTCTGGGGGCCAGTAACTCGGTGCCACGGGAACCTGCTGATCCCGCGGAGCCTCCTTGCCAGACCTGAGGCACCCAGGCACCTGGCAGGCCAGCGTCTACGAAGGGGGGCCTTTCTGGGTGCTTCCCCGCCAAGGCCACAAACCAGACAGACACTGTGAGGTCTGAGCCCACCAGCAAGTGCCACGCGCTTCTCCTGCCTCCCCAACACTGCCCCAGAGCTTCTGGAGCACAAAGGACTTCCATGGGTCCCAGAGGTGCCACGGCTGGCAACCCCCTCTTCGACGACCACGCACTAAGCGCCCGGATGACTGGGCCCAGGGCTTGCCACCCCGTGTGTCCACAGCCCAGCAGCACGCTTGCCCCCAAACCACGGCGCCAGTCAGGTGGCAGGTGTTGGCGTCCTTCGGGGAGGTGCTCACCCAACACTCACGCCACCGCCAGACTCTGCCTGTCTCCCCGGTGTTCCAGCAAGCCGTCCCTGCAGCAGACCGCACCACTCCCCTGAAACCTTCCCGTCTGCATGGCGCCGCTCAAAGATGTCTTCTTGCTCCAGGCTCCTGCCGGCTCGACGCTGGGGATCTTCGTTCCAGGAGAAACCCCGACGTGGCCCCCGTGCCCGCCGATTGCCGTCCACCTCCACTGGGCAGCCTGCACTTCTCCCACCTTGTGCCACCAGCTTCTGTGCCGCTGGTGTCAGAGCCAGCAGTCGAGCCTGGCTGGGACCACGGTCCAGCTGACTTTCTCCGCCGGGCTGGCTCTGCGGCACTTTGCCCGAGCAGGCCCAGCCCCCGCTCAGAAGCCGCATGACAGCCTCTTCGCTCCTTTCTGACCCCACACTACCCCCTCCGAGCGGCTGCTGGGGTCCAGCCTCTCGTATCACGGCCCTTACGGCGGGCACCGCCGAATCAGCCTCCCTCGGACGCGAGAACGCCCTCCCGGAGAGCAGCCCACTTCACAAACAACCTGCAACTGAGACTCCGTCCTGCCGGCGGCCCTGCCCGTCCTGGTCGCCTGCACACAGGAGGGGAGCAACAGGCCCAGGAAGGTGACCGTCTGAGAGGACAGGAACAGAGCCGGCAAGGGGACTGACTGCACTTTCCCGAAAGTCAAAGGTGTCTACCATCTGTCGGCTATTGGGTTTCTGAAGGGTTTGTCAGGCCTTCTGGAACCTGGCAAATATCTGCTGTTTGCCCCCTGGATGCTGGGGATAGGCTGGTTTGTTTTCAAGATTTTATTTGTTTATCTGACAGACAGAGATCACAAGTAGGCAGAGAGGGGGGCGGGGGGAGCAAATTCCCCTCTGAGCAGAGAGCCAGATGCGGGACTCGATCCCAGGACCCTGAGATCATGACCTGAGCTGAAGGCAGAGGCTTAACCCACTGAGCCACCCAGGCACGCCTGGGGGTAGGTTTTATAAGAAACGGAGTAAACTGGGTCATTCACCAGTCTTTAGGGTTTACAAATGCCGATGTCACCTGCACTTTAACAACAGGTCCTGTGGACCCACTACTGTATGAGAGCGTGTAAGGCTGCACAGGCCACGCAAGCACTGGAGACGGAAGGTTCCGGCCTCTGGCACAGCACGGCCCAGCGGCCAGGCCCACAGACGCTGCCTCTCCTCTGTGCCCACAGCACACGGATGCAAAACATACAAGACGGTCTGCGTTTACTCACTTCACTCATTTCTGCTCTAAAACACGACCTGCGGAGAACTCTCTTCAGGAATATCAGAATCTGGGCTAGAAGGATTCCGCCAATCTTTCCTAGAATGTTAACCTGAAGACACACTGGGTGCCTCGAGGTCAAGCGATAAACAGTGGAAACACTCTGTGCGGTAGGTTTCCGCCCTGCAGTCAGCTTTCTCGTTTTCCCTAACGGTGCTTCCTGAAGGTTTGGTTTTGTATTTTGATCAAGTTCAACTTATCAGATGCTCTGTGTCCTTCGGAAATCTTTCTTACCCAGGTCACCAAGATTCAAGGGGGGCCCCACTAATGCTAGAGCATTAACTGTCCTTCAGCAGGACACTTCTAGGATGCCCCCCCCCAAGATGACAGGATGCAAATGGGGCGGGGGGGGAGACAAGGCCAAGCCGCACCGGTGAGGGGCACCAGGCTCCACACCCCCCAGCTAAGAGCCTGCTGAAAGTGGCAGCTTGGGGACCAACAGCTCTGGAGCCCACAGGTGGTGCTGGGAAGGGAGCCCGGGGTGGGCGGGGCAGAGGGGCTTGCAATGTACCCGCAGGACAGAGGTGCCAGCAGAAGTGGGAACCGTGAGACACAGGAGTGTGTAGACCCTCCCGGACGTCCCCGAACGCACCTGCCAGGGACCAAGTGCAGAAGGGACGGGTAAGTCCGCATGGAGCACAGAGCAAGGTGAGCGCAGGCCCCACCAGCCGCTGGCCAGCTGAACGCACGGCTGGCGCGGCCGGGGCCAGAGCTGGAGCATGGGTCTGATGAGCTGTGTACCCCGGCCCAAGGTGTCATCATCTCACAGCATACAGACAGCAGGTCCTTGGGGACCCCCAACAATTAAGGCACAGGCAGAAAAAAGAATGTCAATTTTAAAGCACCAAACCAGAGCATCTGCCCACAAAGGCTGAGGAGCATATGCCAAGGAGCAAACGTCTTGAGAAAGGGGTGTCAGAGGTAAGCACCCCCGGGAGAGACCAGACAGGGTGAAAATCCCACCCAGACCAAGATGTCTGCACTGTGACTAGGGGTGGTTGCCAAGGCACACGTTTGTCTAAACTAATCGAACTCTGCCATTACAGTGCACACCCTACGCTGGCCGACCATCACTGAGGGCCCAACGTGCCAGATCAGTGAGCAAGAGGCACCAGTGACCCTTCCGAAGGGCCGTGTGGTGGAGCCCCACAGCGAGGTCCAGAGGAACACGGGGACGGGAGCAACGCCTGGACCCCGGGGACACAGCTCAGTCCTGCTCGCCCAGCGCCGTCCAGGCTGACGGTGTCATGAGAGCCCGCCTTGTCACCATGCAGGCCCCTGGGACCTCACCGTGCCACTCCATGGCCACTGGGACCCAATGGTTGGCCTGGGACATGCTCCCAATGCTGCTGGGGTCCCCCCAACATAATAGGGTCCCTCTGCTCGGACCAGCCTGTTACTCACCATCCACCTCGACCTCATCCTTTTGTCTGAACCCAAGCTCAGAGCCGCACCTCCTCCCAGAAGCCCTCTCAGCTCCCACTGCTCTGGTGACACGCAGCACCCCCCCAACAGGCTGCAACGCCAAGGCCAGCAGACACAGGATCCTCGCCAGAGCAGGGAGGCGGCAGGCGGGGATGGAAGGCACCGGGGTGGGGCGCGCAGGCTCACCGCGCCGCATGGCCTTGGCTACGTGGCCTGGACGCGCACCTTTCTCCAGAAAGCATTTCACCTATAGGTCACATTCAAGGTCACATAACCTTCAGTGCTGGGGTCAGAGTGTCTTGCCTGTCGTACTCCAGAGCAGATCTGGAGGCACCTCTGGCCGTCACAATGCGGCGGCGGCTCCTGGCACCTCCAGGGTGGGACCGGGGTGCCCTGAAGGGGTGCCCCGTGCAAGCCCCAGTGCACATAACTGACAGGCGGGTGTCAGCTTCTACGGCTGTCCTGACAGACGACCCAGAGCTCTGTGCGCCGGCAGCCTCCGTCCCCCAGAGGAGGGCAGTCAACGGCAGCTGGGGGCAGGCACAGGGAGGCCGCTGCTGCAAAAGGTACCTGGGGCAAATCCAATCACCCCAAGGCCTGAAGGGAGGATTTAGTGTTGACAGTGACGACCGCAGGAGACGAGTGCCGCACAAAGCTTCTGCAAGGATTCCCTCCGTGGTGATACACACGGGTCTCGTTGTCACCGGACACGCGTAAGAGATACACGATCACTCACAGATCAACATAATCCCTCCTCGACTGCCCTCGTTTCAAACCGTGATGTCTACTCTCCCTGACGTGAGTCACCCCAGGGCATTAAGAGTTCAGGAGTCCACACTGTTGTGTATTAACAGAGGATCGGCTAAATTTAAACACGTGGTCTCCACTTGAATCCACCCTGGCAGTGCGCGTCACATGTCAGCTAATGAGGCGGTGGGCTCAGCCCCGGAGAGTGAGTCCATGCAGGAAGGGGGTGGGAGAGGTGGTGGTACGCAGGTCACCAAATGCAGAACAAAATGTCATGAGGTTTTCTCAGCCCACCTGTCAGCAGATACCATGTGATACAATGTAGCAAAGTGGGCCCCAAACCAAGCAGCATCCCACCAGAAACCCACCACGTCCTAAACCTAACCGTGCAGGACGCTAAGGCCCCACTGGCCAGGCTGGGGGGAAAGTGTTGGAAAACACAACACCGTCTCCACTCACAGGGGAGGAGACCTAGGTCCGCAGAGATGTTTCTGACAAAGGTTGGCTAAAGAGAAAGTGAAGATACTGTGAGCGGCTGCTAAACCACCCCAGCCTGTGCAGTTTTAGGAACTTCTGCAGCCCTGGGAAGAGAGCAGGAGAGGCTGGGGGTCAGGACGGGCAGCACACAGCAGCTGGGGACTACCCCAAAAGACTCCGAGTGAGCTGTTTGTCCCACCCTGCCGCAAGGAGATGCACACATGACCCAAGGACAGCATCTCAAAAACCTCCAGTCCCAACGAAAAGGAGGGTAAAGAGACTTCCTTCTTTGTCTGAATTAAAAGATCATTCAGATCGGTCTTGCAGGCTCAGAGCATCCGACATTAGCCTGTGGAATACTGCTTCTGCATCTCTGCACGGGCCAAAAGAATTCTCAAAATCAACTGAAGGAATGATCAAGACAGAGGAAAAGAGTATTTGTAAAAAAAGTAACAGTAATGTCCTTTTACAGTAGGAGACGATTTCATCCTTGCAGATACTGATGCAAGAAATGGACGAGAGGCAGGGAGTGATCCTAGTGTTTCTGCCCTCAAACCAACAAACAGCCCCCCCGCACCATACCCTAAGGGGAGTGGCATACTGTGACCTCTTGAGAAAACACTTCAGCCAAGGAGACCAGCCCCAGAATGTCAATATATGTCAACTTTCCTCATTTGCCCTTGAAAAAAAATCTATAGGAAAATCATGAAATGCAATTTGTGAAGAAGTTATTTTCCCCCAAATACAAACACCAAACTCCCTGGAATCTTTTGTACTCACCGGCTTTCCTGTCTGCTCTGACGGGCCACCAGGGCGCACTCGCTGTTGCAGAAGGCAGAGGGGAGGACACACACCCTGAACTCGTGCTCGTAGAAGCCATCACTGTAAAGGTTGGGTCTGACCCGTCCCTTCTCCCTGCAGGTTAGGAGAGCTCAAAGACCTCCTCCAAGCGCTACACGCAGACCTTAGCGTATGAGTGCACGCGGAAAACGCATTTTGTGCACCCAGATCCTGCTTCCGAAATGTCACTCTCCATTAAAAGGAAGCAGGACTTCTCGGAGCAATGGGTGATGCCAGAGTTGGGGACAGGGGCCTCAATACCACTTGTGTCAAAAAATGTGGCCATGCTCTCAGACCGACAGGGCCTCATCACAGTGGTCAGCTGGAGGGGCTCCCACTGCCAAACCTGCAACAAGGGGAGCGTCAGGACAAGTAACAGTGGTGGACAGTAAGAACCCAAGAGTCCACACTGTAAACTAGTTGTTCCTACAGTAGATAGCCAATCCAGAAACGGAGAAGAAACAAAAGACTTAAGAATGTCACGACTGGACAATCCTGAGTAAAGTAAATAAATTAATAAATAAATAAAACTCCCCAAAACGGGAGATTCAGACAAGAGTCATCAAGATGCCAAAAACAATGGCTGACCATTTGATGACAGAATTTAAGATATTTACTGAGGAAGAAAGTATCCCTCACAAAATACTTAGCAATTACAACACGAAAATTAGTCCATTTTCACTAGAGCCACCACCGTAACAAACCACAATGGGCCACACGGAGGCCACCTGCTGCCTGACGGGCCGCTCAGGACACACACAGGCGCTCCAGCAAGTCCTGCCCAAAGGCACACATGGGAACTGACAGCCAGTCTGCAAAACCACCAGCTGCTCAGGAGATGAAAAGGAACGGACTGAGGAACCACCAAGGTTAGAGACCCAGGAGCTCTGACAGCTGAGCCTAACATGTGATCTGGGCTTTCTTTTGCTTCCAAGGACAATGCGGCCCATCAGGGAGCTCTAGTGAGCAGAAAACAGCCCCGCATGGACGTTATTTCTTATTCTGATCGTTGTACCACGGGTAGGGAAGAGAATTTTTTTT